GATCCTATTACTGTATCAGATCCATGGACAGGCGTAGCGGGATCCTATTAATGTATCAGATCCAAGGACAGGCATGGAATAGTAACGGTTATATACACCCTGTTCCAAATTATTATGCAAATTATATTTTTCTCATTTACCTAAATAATTGATGTAAATAACAGTCAGCATAATTCTCATGTTATCAACTATTAAGAGTACAATTCAAATTTTATTGAACAAACCTCCTAATGATAACAGTATTTTTTATAAACATAAAAAACTTACAATGCACTGCTCCAAATTATTACGCGCAGTAAGTTTCAAAACACTTTATAGGTTGTAAAGAACTGAAATTTGTCATTTGTTGTGTTTGCAGCATATTTACTGAAATCAAAAGCTATTTCAATCAAACTTATAACAACATTTTAACTTATTAAACATTTTAACAGGTCACGTTACATTTTAACATAGGACCCCTTATTTGATAGCAGCTTCACAAGTCTTGCATCCATTGAACTTGTGAGTTTTTGGACAGTTTCTGCTTGAATTTTGAGCTGCTGTTTGGATGTAAACTGCCTCCCACCCTCATAGATCTTTTACTTGAGGATGCTCCAAAGGTTCTCAATAGGATTGAGGTCAGGGGAGGATGGAGGCCACACCATGACTTTCTCTCCTTTTATCCCCATAGCAGCCATTGATGCAGAGGTATTCTTTGCAGCAGGAGATGATTTTATTACGGAAAAAGGGAAGAGAGTGAAGAACGTGGTCAGTCAGAAACTCCACATACTTTGCAGAGGTCATTTTTACACCTTTGGGGACCCTAAAAGGGCTGACCAGCTCTCTTCCCATGATTCCGGCCCAAAATATGACCACCGCCTTGCTAACGTTGCAGCCTTGTTGGAACAGGGTGGCCGTCCACAACTATCCACTACTCCGTCCATCTGGACAATCCAGGGTTGCATGGCACTCATCAGTGAACAGGACTGTTTGAAAATTAGTCTTCATATATGTTTCTGCCCAATGCAGCCGTTTCTGCTTCTGAGCATTGGTTAGTGGTAGCCGAATAGAAGGTTTATGCACAGTTGCAAAGCTCTGGAGGACTCTACACCTTGATGTTCGTGGGACTCCAGAGGCACCAGCAGCTTCAAATATCTGTTTGCTGCTATGTAATGGTATTTTAGCAGCTGCTCTCTTCATCCGATGCATGGATCTGGCAGAAATCTTCCTCAATGTGCCTTTATTTGCACAAACCTGTCTGTGCTCTGAATCAGCCATAAATCTCTTAATAGTGCGATGATCACGCTTAAGTTTTCGTGAAATATCTAATGTTTTCATACCTCGTTCAAGGCATTGAACTATTTTACTCTTTTCGGCAGCAGAGAGATCCTTTTTCTTCCCCATATGAAAATGGTGCTCTGTTTAATAATGTGGAACACCTTCCTGTACTAGTTTTTCCTTAAATTGGGATCACCTGGCAATCTAATTATCACAGGTGTCCGAGATTGTTTTAAGTGATCAAAAGAGCCCTGAGACACAATGCCATCCATGAGTTAAACGGAAAAACAAAATATTTAATCTTTGTGACACTTAAATAGAATTTGCATAATAATATGGAACAGGGTGTAGTAGAATCCAACAATCACGAATACCAAAAACAGAGAAAACAGGACTGTGACGAACCCTGAAGTGGTAGCTAGGGGTTCGTCGGTTTTAACCCGAATGGCTAGGAGTAAGAGTGATTATAGTTCGCCGTTCGGATTTCCATTAGTCTATTATTCCATAATAGATGCAACGTTCAAGCAGAATTTCCCCAAAGCAGTAATCAGGTACCCAAACATCAGCCGAAACATGATGAAGGGTGTAACAGGAATGAAATTTTATTGTGCCACATTGGCGTTTATGCGATTCCTCAGGCCAGAGGAACACCCCCTGGACGTGATGGAAAACAGGGACACATCTTATTACAACCAATAACAATACAGGGACAAACAGACACTCCCAGTACAAACAGTTAATTCCCTCCTCTCTGCCTGGAGATAATTGGGTCAGATAAAGTAATAACTTAATTATCTCTGGGCAGAGGGTACACAATTTTCACAATACTTGAAAAACACCCCAAAACATACAGGACCCACACAAATGTCACATCCCCTGATAGCCCCGATCTGGGTGACCAACATATCCAAAAATCACCCAGATCGGTTCAGGGGTTTTCAAATTTCATGGAAGTCCCATTTGACCGACTGCACACGAGGCTCCTGCCCAGAAACAGTCCCATGTGTTTAGGCTGTGCGGTTGGTCTATTTCGTTAATTCACAAAACCGAACAAATGCACAAATGGATCCCTCTGGCTCATAGCAGCGATTGCCCCCCTGGTTGGTTGGAACCAAACTACCAAACAGTGCTCTCCTAGCTGTTCGCGAAAATGAAGCAGGTGTTCATCAGTTTGACCGGTGTTTCGGGAAGTCGAGTGTCTGATTTTAGTTCCAGACACTCGACGACCAAGTCATGCTGCCTCCTTTCGTGCAAACAAGATGGCCTCCGTTTTCTCTTCTACGTGGTGTTCGGCTATACGAATGGCGGCAACACATAGAGAGCGCTTAATTGATGGTTTCCTTTAGTAATAATGAGCCAGAGGGGTGGTTGGTCGTTCGGTAGTTTGAAAACTACCGAACAAATAAATTAAATATAAACAAAAATCCAAAATTGTATACGAACAAAGTTAGAAAATGCTGATTTTCTCACAAGGACAATCAATAAACAAGCCAAAAAGTCAGTAACAAGGAATCCAATACAATATAAACACACTCTTGGGTAAGAACCACAACAGGGCAACTTGCTGCAGAAAGCTCAGGCTTTATATAGCCAGGGCACTTAAACTATTGGCAGGTATCACTGTGGAGCGCCTAAAGGACGAATTCGTCTGAACGTTGAATTCGGCCCTTTTTGAGTTGGTTCGCACTGACCGAATCGGCACACAGAGTCTCGCCGTTCTGATGTAGACGCGACTGTATACAAATAGACTCGCACAAATAGCTTACTGTGTCTGTCCTGCTGTCAGATCAGGGAGAAGGAGCTCTGGAACAGGTAAGCATGACACCTACTAATATCCCAGATACACGGACAGCCCGTATCAGGATCCTAATAACGTATCGGATCTACAAAAAGTCTTTATCAGGATCCTAATAACGTATCGGATCTATGGACAGTCCGTATCAGGATCCTATTAATGTATCAGATCTACGGACAGTCCGTATGAGGATCCTATTAACGTATCGGATCTACGGACAGTCCGTATCAGGATCCTAATAACGTATCGGATCTACGGACAGTCCGTATCAGGATCCTAACAATGAATCGGATCTACGGACAGTCCGTATCAGGATCCTATTAACGTATCGGATCTATGGACAGTCCGTATCAGGATCCTAATAATGTATCGGATCTACGGACAGTTCGTATTAGGATCCCATTAATGTGTCAGATCCGTTAACAGTCCATTTCAGAGTTCTATTAATGTATCAGATCCACGGACAGTCCATTTCAGAGTTCTGTTGATGGATCAGATCCACGGACAGTCCGTATTAGGATCTTATTATTGTATCAGATCCTCGGTCAGTCCATTTCAGAGTTCTATTGATGTATCAGATCCACGGACAGTCCGTATTAGGATCTTATTATTGTATCATATCCACGGACAGTCCATTTCAGAGTTCTGTTGATGTATCAGATCCACGGACAGGCCGTATCATGATCCTATTAATGTGTCAGATCCATGAACAGTCCATTTCAGAGTTCGACTGATGTATCAGATCCCTGAACAGTTCATTTCAGACTTCTAATAATTAGTGATGTCGCGAACCGTTCGCGAACTTGCCGCGAACGGTTCGCCACGGTTCGCCAGAACCGTTCGTGGCGAACTCCGGTCAGCTGACACATCCCTGCCAATCTCCGGCAGACCCTCCCTCCCAGACCCTCCCACCTCCTGGACAGCATCCATGTTGAAGCTGTCTGGGAGGGTCTGG